TAAGCCAGCACTGGAGGTCAGGATGGAGAAGATCTCCACAGCCACCATGGACTTTCCTCTTGTGCTGAGGTAGGTGGGAACAAAGGAGACCCAGACACTGCAGAAGACCAGCATGCTGAAGGTGATTTTCTTGGCCTCATTGAAGCTGTCAGGCAACTTCCTGGCCAGGAAGGCCACTGCAAAACTGACAGCAGCCAGGAAACCCATGTAGCCCAAGGCACAATAGAACATGAGGACTGAGCCCTCATTACAGAGCAGTATAATTTCTTCAGTCATGGAGTGCATGTCTGAATCTGGGAATGGGGGAGAAGTCATGAGCCAGAGAGCACAGATGCCTGCTTGAATGCTGGAGCAGGAGAAGACAATTGCATAGGCCAGTCTTTTCCCCACCCAATTTCTCATCTGGGATCCTGGCTTGGTAGCCATGAATGCCAGCACCACAGACACAGTTTTTGCCAGGATGGTGGAGAGGGACACTGAGAAGACCATGCCAAAAGCAGTTTGTCGAAGAAGGCAGGGCACAGTGTTAGGTTTCCCGATGAAAAGCAAAGAGCAGAGAAAACACAGAAGGAGGGAGAAGAGGAGAATGTTGGAGAGTCTCCGGTTGTTTGCCTTGACAATGGCAGTGTCTTGGTGCCTAATGAAGATGCCAAGCACCAGAAGTGTGATCAGGGAGAACAGGAGTACTGAAAAAAGTGAGATGGTGGCTAGAGTGTCTTTTAAAGCTAGGAAGTTTGGAATCTTTGGAATGCAGTGATCCTGGTATTTATTTGGAAAGTGATCTTCTGAGCAAGCAATGCATATTTCCATGTCTGAAAACAGATAAAATTGTGAAATAAAAAATAGCCATGCACATGACTATCAGCTGCCCAACTAGGGTGCAATCTTTCCATCAGTATTGGTGGCAAGAATTGTATAGCCTAAATTACAATGCAGATGTGCTTTTGGGTGTCATTCAGCACGCATAGGGAAGAATGGGAAACTCTTTGCCCCAACTACATTATTATTAGAAATCCCATTGCCTGCATAACAGCAAAGCTGAAGCAAACTCTCATATTCCCACAAATTGAAAAAAAAAGTTTTCTAAGCACTGCATTATGGGTGAGAAGAATGGGTAACACTTTTCCTTTGAAGAATGTTCTCTATATGCCAGTTTCCCTATGAAAACTCTTGCGCAACATTTAAGTATTTGGGGATACAGACAAGGGTTACTGGAAATCAATTTGGCATGGATGTCCTATAGATCCAGGCATAGTAATGCCACTGCCACCAAGCTTCCATAGAACAAGCTGAATGAGAAGAATGAAGCTTCACTACATTAGTCTGATTCACTGTGGAGAGGTGGAGGTTTATTTGTTAGCTATCTTCCTTTTCAATCAAAGATGCTCAAGAGACGTTTAAGTCTTTGCTCAGTTGAAAACTTTGAGTCTAGTCTTTTCATTTCAGGGTGCAGGTTCAAAGATTGCCTTTTTTGCCTTCAGAAGTATGATGAATTGTGGATAGCATGAATGGTCATTCTAGCTTGCCAGATCAGAGCTCATGTTAGTATTCCAGCTTGTTTTTTTATTAATGCTAAAATGTAGCTCTGTGTTCTTTTCCCTTTTAAGATGGCTTTGAGCAAATACCAAAACAAAAAAAAATGTTTCTAAAATGAATAGAAATAATAAAAATGGAAATAATACATACTAGCATAGTTCAAGAAACAGCAAACCTTTCTAGATGATCAATGAGAAAAGAACCGGAAAAACAGTTGCTACCATTTTCTTGGAATAATCTGTAACCTTCCTATGTCCTACCCTCCTTATTTGAGTACATCCCAGCTTGGCATGGGACACAGTCATAGCAACAAAATTTCTTCCCTTCTATGTTTTTCTTGCTGTAACCGGGATGGCAGATGTCATTACAGAGAGAAAGAGGTGGCACCTGTCCAAAAATACAGGAAAAGCTTAGCATTATGGAAACACTTGAAGAATGCATCTCACATCTACCAGTAAATGAAATGTTCAGTGATATGAAATAATGAGTTGATAGGACTACAGACAATACATTCTGTGGCATCATGCAAACATCATCATATAAACAGAAAGAGATTACAATTTCCTTAGATATCCTTATAACCATGATAACCAGCTTAACATTCAAAGTTTTGTCATTAATCTACATTCTTTTTGGAGCATGGACAAATTCTTTTTATTTTCCCAATGTTTTAAGATCTGATTGTTTTAACTGGGGTCTTATTGTCAGTTGAATTTTTTTAGGACGCTGTGTTTTACTTTACATTGTTGTATTGTTAAACTGTCCTGAGTGTTCGGTAAGGGATGAGCTAGAAAAGTTTAAATAAATAAATTCTCAAAGAATTCTTGAGAATGTAATAGTAAAAATTTGCAAAAATTATCCTCTGCATGGGCTATACAAACCAGAGACTGGTTAGTGACAAAACATGCGCTAACCAGGCCCAAGGTCCCAGGTTCAATTCTTGTACATCCGGGAAGACCAGGAACAATTCCTGCCTATAAACCAGATGGTTTCTATCAGCTAGTGTTGACAGGACTGGGCTAGAAGGCTGAGAGACTGGGCACAATATAAGCCAACATTCCTTGCTGTGATGTCTGAACTCGCCCTAAGTCAGCTTTTGGAATTCATGGCTGAGCATAGATTACAACCTGAATCTCCTGATTTCCAATGCAATACCTGAATTGCTACATGGCACTGTCTCTCTTCAAGCAACATTTACTTTTTGATCCCACCTTTTCTTTGTTTGCCAATCCAACTATGTATTACAGTACCACTATGCAGAGGATGAAGAAATGATTTCCTCATACTCTCAAACCAATTGCACTCTTGATTCTCTGAAAGACAACAAATATTAGCAGTTGAGAGGCAATGAATTCATTTTCCAACCTGAGCCAAGTCTCTTGGCCATTCCATTCTTATTTCATTAAGGCTGAATTGTTTGCTTGGAGGAGCATGTGGGTTCAGGCTTCCAACTTTGACCCTGGCATAGGAATTATTTGGGAAAGTGACCAAGCTGGTGATTTCAAATCCTCCTACTAGTTCTCCATGTTCATTAAATCTAATTTCATCTCCAGCATTGTTGTTGAACGAGATCCTCTGAATCAATGAGTGGAGCTAGGTGGAGACAGAAAGGAACCAGAGAGAGGGAAATGTTTAGAATAAATGTCTTTGATGGGTTGAGGGTATTGTCCTCTATGACAAAAACCATTTGCAAAAGCTAAGCATTCAGAAATGCTAACAGACAGCCAGACAAGAACTGGGTGTAACATGTATTGGAGATACGAAGTCCTGGCTGTGCACTGAGGACCTCTGTCAGAGAAATGCACGAGAAACTTCTAGGAGCCTTGAAACTTACCTGCCAGGGTTCCACAGTTGGAGGTTCCAGAGTGCTCATGACTTCTGTTACTCTATGGCTGGATATTGATGTGTGAGTGATGTGCAAGGCATTAGCCAGAGCAGAGAGGGCATTGTAGATACTGTAACTATGGCCAGTCATGCTCATTTCAAAGTAAGGAGAAGGGAGGCTCTGCAGCCTCTCCGACCCAGTACATGTTTCACTGATATCTCTTGGTGCTTCAGAATTTGACATAAAGCAGCCAAAAGCCTGTTCCCAGAAATCTGTGATGAAACCATCTGCTTTACTTCCAGATGGGTGGATCATGTCAAGGAAGTTTTGGAAGCCTGGAGGCTGATTTGAATGAATTGTGAAAGAAAGAGTGCCATGGAACATTTGCATATCAAAAGCCTTTTGAACTATAAATAAAGTGAATTCAATCTGGGCTGTTGTAATCCAGACCTTTCCTGCAGGGATTGTCTCTCCATATGAATGATCTGTTAAAGGAAAAACCATTGTTATTAAGATCGCTGCAGCCAACCTCAGAATGTTGGTACTTTCTCCATGGATAACAACTGCCCTGGCTTTTGTCTCAGTGAAAATGTGAAGATGACTCTTTGTAATATTAACAATCTCAAAGAACTGCCAGTTGGCTTGGATTCTCTCTGTGAATTCTGAACAGATTGCATTCTGGGAAAGCATTGGCTCCATGGTCTGCAAGAAGCGTTCTCCATGTTCATCATCCATTGTGATGAGCCCGATCCATTTCCAGTGGAAATGGAGAAGAAGTTGGACAATTCCCTGGTACTGGAGAGCTTCATTGGGAACCATCCGGTAGAAGGAAGGCAAAGGGGATTCCTCACTCACTGCTGTCTGAAATGAGCCATATGAAAACTGAAGGCAGGGAGGGAGGGAGGGAGGAAGAAAGGAAGACCAAAGTGAGACTGTCATCTTGTTCAGTCATAATATTCTTGACCTTTATTCTTTTTCCTGGTTAATAAAATTCACACTAACAATTCCATGAAGATGATTCCTCAAAGCAGCATAGATATAATTTAGAATATAATAAACAGTGCAGTCATCTCTTGTCTTAGTTCTACTTTGTCATAAGTGGACATAAGTTTGTAGCCTCAAAGAACAATGGTATGTGCAGATCTGCCCACAATGAAGGCTAATTAAATTAAGTGAAATGGGATTCATTCCCAGCTAAGAGTATATAGCAGAGTTTGGCAATGAGGTAATTGTGGGTTTTCTTTCACCTTGCAGACACCTTAAATTGATTTCTTCTCATGTAATCTGGGGATCAAGGAAGAGCAAACACTTCTGAAGAACAAACACTTCACTCCAATAGCATCCTTCCAAAAGACAAATCTATGTTAAGCACTGGATCAAGAAAGAGGGGAACCAACTATGAGATGGATCAATGATATAGAGGAGCCCTAGCCTTGAATTTACAAGGGCTAAGCAGGATGAAAAGGACAGAGAACTTTGGAAGGCATTTTTTCAGAAAGTAAGCTTAAATCAGAGATGACTTGATGGTACATAATAACAGACCTTTTCATACCCATTTAGGGACAATCCTCATATCACCTTACCATTCTTTTCTAATCATTCCTCCTCCTATTTCTGAACCATGCAATTGATCCCAGAAAGTGAAGACTAAGAATGAACCATGGATTTGTGACGGTCCTTCTGTCCACTAGAAGATTTCCAGTTGCAGAAGAATACTTCATCCCATTTTAAAATTTCTCCCTCCCTTGATATCAGGCTGGCTCCTGACTCATTTCCTTTTTATTTTTTCCTCCTCCCTTGACTTCATTCTGACTCTGACCAATTCCTGCCAGGGGCTGGATGTGCTGCTTTGGGGAGGAGGTGGTGGGATTGACCACGTCCTCCTGACACCTTACCTGGGGGATCTTGTAAGGGCCAAGAATATCTGCCATGCATGCAGATATATCAGCACTCAGTCCACCAATGACTCCCATGAGCTTTTGCTGTGTGCCACATTGATAGTTGGGGACCATCTGATGTGACTTGAAGAGCATATCCAGGCTGGTCCGGTAGGTCATCTTTGGATCAGAGTAGCTGTCATAGATGTGGAAGCCCAGGGTAATGTTAGGTAAGATCTTGGGATTTTCATTGATCTCCTTAATGGCAAAGACCAAGGCCAGGATTTGCTGGTAGAACTTGGTGATCACGCTGCAAAGAAAATGACTCTTCGTAGTTGGAGAAGTCTTTGGACATGGGAATTTGGACATGAGAATTCTGCAGTGAATTTCATTACCGGTCAAGAAAAAAGGGTGCAGTCTCACAAAGATCATCACAGCCAAGTCCCCGTGAAGGCAGAGAAATTGACAGTCAGTTTATAGATCTGGGGCTGTGGTAATAGTGGGGCCATTGGAAGAAACTGAAAAGATTCATGCCCTGTGCCATAGGTTATGCTACTCTACCAAAAGATGGAGATTGTAAATCAATGATGTATACTTTGAAATGGTTGCTAGGATTTAATTACATTTCACAGAAAGCCAAGCCACCCATTAACTCTCACCCAAATTACCCAGAATAGCAATATATTCTAATGCCTTGCCCTAAACTAGGTCAGTCAATAGTGGCTTTGTAAATAATTTTGAATGATGAGTGAAAATGGAAACAAAGAGAGTAGTACGTTTTTTCAGAAGCTCTTCCCTGCTCCCTTGCTATCTGTCTGTTCCACTAAACCAAAATGGATACTGTTTAAATACTTTAAAATGGCAGGGTTTTTTCTGTTTCTCCCATCAGCTGTGATCAATGTCATATTTGAAGAGCAGGAGAAAGAGATTTCCAGGATTTTAAAATTTGTATTTATGTATTCGATGTGCCTTATGAAATAAATATCACGTCTTCTGTCTTAAAATTACAAAGGAAGAAGGTCTCTAGATTTTTCATGCCCCAAAATCTGGCCAACTGGTGGATCTTTTTGTTTATACCCCTCTTCCCCTGATTTCATGGGCTACCTAGCATAATGAACAGCTCTGGAGAACTTGGGAACTTGTATTATGGAATTCAATGAGATTTTTCTTTTTGATCCTACTTAAGTAATTCTCCAACTTGGTCCAAACTTTCCCTCCAGCAGAGTTATCTTTGTGTTTTTTTCCCTGCCTTCTCACATCAGTTGTCCAGCAACCTGAATACTACTATTCCAATTAACAAAACTGGAGCTGCCTTGAGGCTTGTTCAAAATGAAACATGGGTTTTGCCAATCCATTGGGATGCTTTGACCGTGACATATAATGCCATGGAAGAGATAGAGAACCTCATTGTAAAGGAGGTATCAAGCACACCACCCCCATTTTGCAAGGAAAGATGTGTTCTCTGGACAGTTTCCTTTTGTTAGCTGTCAAAAGAAAGCAAAAGGAAGAAAAAGTTTATTTTGAGCCTCTGTAGGTCAACATCCTGGTTTGGTACTTGCAGCAATCTGACAGTAAGTAACTGCTAATATTGCCTAACTAATTTCTGCAGTCCAGAAATTGTCCTCTTGTGCAATTTCTGAAGCATGGTAGATACAACAACAAATAAAAGAAATATTTGCAGAGACAATTATGTGCAAATCTACCATGAGAACAGACAAGCAATAAAGAACCCCTAGCCTCCAATGTCCCCTAAATACAGAACTAAAAAGCTTGTCTAGCATTGGGATTCCCTCCAACATGTCACTTAGGACATTTGAAAGAGGCTGCCAATGGGTGTCAAAGTGGAGATGGCATAACTGCTTTTCAGAGAGAGAGAGAGAGAGAGAGAGAGAGAGAGAGAGAGAGAGAGAGAATAGAAGTCACAGATAATTGTACAGAAGACCCAGCCAGTTCCAATTGCCCCCAAAATGAGGTCAGCAATTTGCATTCCCAAACTCCTGAAATATGCATTCAGTAAAACTAAGCCTGTTTTACCTTACTCACAGTGGGAACGTGAGCGCTTCCTGAGAAGGGTGTTTGTCAAACAAAATAACGGGGAGCAGGTAATGTATGTGAGACACCATCCCACCAATGAGGAGCTCACCCTCTTGGTACCACTCGTGTGGGATAGGAAGGGGATCACTTTCAGAGCATGTTGAAGCCTGTCCTTTGATGGCTGCCTGTGGAAAGAGCAGCACCAGCACCAGCACCCTGCCTGAAAATGTCCCTTTTGGTTTTGCCTCTTCCATGTCCTTCTGTGGAATCATCTCCACCACTAGATTCATTCAAACAAGCTGGGATCAGATGGAGATTGCATCTTCCAATTCAATGATTATGGTGAAATATTTTCCTTGACTTGCAAAGTTAAGCCTTTAATATCCTTTGAATCTTTGCATCATTGAGATGAAGGTGGAGAAATATTCAGATGGAGAAATCCTTGGCTGACACTTGTCCTGAAATAAACTGCAAATGGTGACTTAGTGTCATATCTATTTAAGACTCCACTCTGGACTTTCCTTCGATAATACCTTCTGAAAAGCCACTGGAGGTCTGACCATACGGATTAAGTACAGTGATTTTGATAATTAAAGGGGAAATAATAACTTTGGACTCTGTATGGTATCTCCACAGACAACATCTTTGTCAAGTGTAAGAGCAAACTTCTGCTGTTCTGTAGGAGGACAACTTTCAGGATAATTCACAATGACCACTAGGATATGGTGTACTGGTTAACATGTTTGACTGGAACATAATAGTTAACCTGTGTTAGTTCCCACTGGATGCAAAGATCAGGCTGATATTCGGCTTCCTTATGCTTGTGGCACTAACAAAGGGGGTGTGGAAGAGGGATGCTGTTTGCACAGCATTCACACATGGCTTAATTCCAGGAACTCAAACTTAATGGCCAAGTCAATGCAGACCAGGACTTCTGATGCATTTTCACCCACAAAACAGATTGCTAACACATCCTTTCGTCAAACTAAACATTAAGTTTTCAGGGTCTTCCTAAAGGTTTGCAGTGGTGCCCGGGAGGTATCCATGGTGACATATTCCAAGCTGTGGAATGCTTGGAATTGTACTCCAAAGCACCTGGAAGTTTGGAGAATGCTATTTTACAAGCATAAAAATCAGTATGCATAAATTGCTTTGCCCATCACATTTTTTTTATTGATGCATACATTGTATGGTATCACATGTATAACTTACATCTGAATCAAGTATTTTTTTAATGAAACAAAAATGATAATGCTATGACCAAAGCATAATATATATAGGATATAGTACAGGGTTTTATTTGATTTTTGACCAAAGTGAAATTCAGAAAACACTTCGTGAATGGAATCCTCTAAGAAGATAGAAGAAGACTGGAGAACTTGAGGCAAGTGCAGCTCATTTGCCACAAGTATGTTTAGAGAAATCCCCAAAACTATTCTTGTTTGTAGGATGGATTTTAAAGAAAATAATAACAACAATAATAGTATGAGTTCATTTTGTAATGTTATGCAGCGGTGGTGTCAATACCTTTCTTATATCATAGGAACGAGGTGACTGTGCTTCTTTGAGAAACAGAGAATCCATTCTAGGGACAGCAGTTGAAATTGTTACACCTGAGACTGTGTTGCCAAATGGTGAGGTCTGATGGGGAACTTAACATTGGTTTCCATAGACACAAGTCTTGACATTGTCAGAGAATCATGCAGTCATAGAATATTGGAGTTGGAAGGGACCAAGAAGGCCAACAGGACCAACCTCCTGTTCATGTGCATACTGACACATTTACAAATACACGGACGGGGGAAACCACAAGATATTGAAAAAGAGATATGACTGTTTTGAAGTAATCTGGGGAATAAAGGCAAAAATGGAGTGAATAAGACAGTTGGGCTGACCATCATGTGGAATACCAGTGAGTCAGTGCTGGAAAACATGCATAGTGTAGATTGTCCCTACAGTTAAAAAGGGGATGTAAATATGAATTCCTTCATGAGTTAGATCTTTCTTTGCATTAGCTGCTCTCTGGTGTTCAGCTCAGGTCTCAGCATAATAATGTAGCATTTGGGAAAGAATATGCAGCCCAGTAAGCCAGCGCTGGAGGCCAAGATGGAGAAGATCTCCACGGACACCATGGACTTTCCTCTTGTGCTGAGGTAGGTTGGGACAAAGGAGACCCACACACTGAAGAAGACCAGCATGCTGAAGGTGATGTACTTGGCCTCATTGAAGCTGTCAGGCAACCTCCTGGCCAGGAAGGCCACAGCAAAGCTGACACCAGCCAGCAGACCCATGTAGGCCAAGACACAATAGAATATAAGGACACAGGCCTCATTGCATAGCAGAATAATTTCTGTAGACATGGAGAGCCTGTCCGAATCTGGGAATGGGGGATAAGTCATGAGCCAGAGAGCACAGATGCCTGCTTGAATATTGGAGCAAGAGAGCACAATGGCATAGGCGAGTCTTCTCCCCACCCACTTCCTCATTTGGGATCCTGGTTTGGTAGCCATGAAGGCCAGCACCACAGACACTGTTTTTGCCAAGATGGTAGAAAGTGATACAGAGAACACGATGCCAAACGTGGTTTGTCGAAGAAGGCAGGAGATTGTGGAAGGCTTCCCAATGAAAAGCAAGGAGCAGAGGAAGCAGAGGAGGAGGGAGAGGAGGAGAATGTAGGTGAGGCTTCGGTTGTTTGCCTTGACGATGGCAGAGTTTCGATGCTTAATGAATATGCCAAGCACCAGAACTGTGGTCAGAGTCAATAGAAGCCCTGAAGAAGTTGAAATGATGCCCAAAGAATCTCCAAAATCCAGGAAGTTTGGCATCTTAGGGATGCATTGATCCTTCCACTTGTTCGTATACTGATCATCTGGACAATTGACACAATTGTTCATACCTGAGAGGAAAATGTATAATAATGCATAAGGAAATCACACTATTCTCATGATGAATAGTCTCTCCAAAGTTCATGGAACATAGAATTATAATTTTATTTCATTTTTATTTCTTTCATGGAAGGGGGAGACAGTTTGCTCACAAAAGGGCTAAGCCTCAGAGAGAAGCTACAAAATCCATGATTAACAACGGTGATGCAAGCATTGGGTGATTATTGAAAAACAAGGAGAACATTCAGTAATAATTCTTAAATCCTCTCCAGGATGACACTGACAACAGAAAATGGACATGGGTTGCTTGCAAATGAGACAAATGTTATGCTCTAATGAAACCTACCACTCTGGTTTGAGAAGAGCCCATCTGGACATGGTGCACAATCATAGCAGCAAAATTTCTTCCCCTCCTTCTTTTTCTTGCTGAAGCCAGGCTGGCATATGTCATTGCACAGAGAAAGGGGTGGCACCTATTCAAACATAGTGGCACAGCTTAGGATGAGGAATTAATTTCATTTTCCTTCAGACTATGTGATGGTAAAGAATACTGACTTGTACATCTCCAAGTGCCCAGGTTTACAAGAGCTGAGCAGAGCTGTCAGGGACAGGGGTCAATTGTTGGAGATGACCCAATGGCCTACAGCAACAACAAGTGCTCAAATAACACATTCAGTAGTAAAAGAAGTTCCTGCTGTATTCCATGACGCTTAGTCAGTGGTCCATCTAAGTTAGACAAAGTTCTTTGGTATAGGACGTTTTGTTGTGTCTTTCCTTAACTGGAATACACACCCTGTACATTTCAATCCACTCTTCCTAAAAGAACACATCTCCTCTTTCCCAGGACAGTGTCCTGGTGAATTTCATGCCAATGCAAAAATTTCCCCACCTGAGCCAAGCCTCCGTGCCACCTGATTGCTTCCTCATTAATTTGGAATGCTTTGTCTGGAGCAGGATGGATCCTTCCCACCTTGATTCTGTCATAGGACTGATTTGGAAAAGTGACCAAGTTGGTAAGATCAAATCCCCCTTCCAATTCTCCATCTTCATTAAAGGTAATTTCATCTCCTGCACTGTTGTTGAATGAGATCCCCTGAATCTCTGAGTGGAGCTGGATGGAAGCAGAGAGTCAAATGGTGAGAAGAGTGTTGAAAGGAACTGAGTAAAATGGTTCAGGTCATTCTCATCAAAAGGAAAATGTTGCCCATTAGACAGCAAGTACTTGGAAGAAGATCTGGATCATGAATCAGTATAAATTTAAAGGGTGAAGATTTTTGTCAAGAGAATTTCCAATAATATATTCAAAGAAGGAAGAAGGTTATATACATAGGGGACTTGATCCCAGTTCAGTCAGTCTTAGAGTGGACCTCCTGAAATGAATGGAGCTGAAGTTAACTGTGAAAAATTGGGGTTTGCAGTAAGGGAAAGGAACTAATTATCTAAGGAGGTGGTTGGCTCTTCTACACTGGAAGCATTCCAGAGTCAGTTGGACATCATCTGTCATGGATGCTTTAACCCGCTGGCCTGCACTGAGCAGGGAGTTGGACCTGATGGCCTCATAGCTCCGTGCAACCCTTCTATTCTATGCTTGTATGATCCCACGGTGATATCATTGCCATAGAATTGAGGGTGCTTGCTTCCTCTGTATACAGAGGCTTGAGGCTCATGGCAACACTTCATAGTTCTATAGCTCAGGCAGCATTCTGCAATGACAAGCTGCAATTGGGACCCATCGTAAAAATGGGACAGTGGGTTCTATTTAGCAAAGCTGCAACCTTGTTTGTTAGCATTCTGCATTCACAGGGATATGATCCCAGCGATACAGATTACACATGTCACACTCCTGTGCGATATCTTGATGATGACTATGGATCTTGTGAGTGAGGATAGGTTACCTGCCAGGGTTGTATGTTCTGAGGGCATTGTATCCCTCCGTTCTGCTTTGTTCTGTGGTTGCATCTAGCTGAGTACACGTTGTGCAGGGCGTGTGCCACTGTGTAGGCAGCATTGTAGATACTGTAGCTGTGGCCAGTCATGCTCATTTCAAAGAAGGACCTTGGAAGGCTGTGTAACATTTCCCTTCCTGTGCACGCTCCCCTTATGATTCCCAGAACTGAGTTTGAAAATGAACAGCCAAAGGCAAATTCCCAGAAATCATGGACAAACCCATCTTCATTCACCCAAGAAGGATGGACAAGCTGAAGAAATTCTTGGAAGTTTTGAGGTGTTTTTGATGGAATTGTAAAGGAGATCGTGCCATGGAGCTTTTGTATATCAAAACCAGCAAGCGTTCCAAGGGCATTTACAAAGAAATCAATTTGAGCTGTTGTTATCCATACTCTTGCTGAAGACAGTTTTCCTTTAGACTGAGGAAACATTAGCTGAGCTAAAGTGGCTGCAAGTAAAACTGTTTGCAACCCTGCAATGGCTGGAGATTCTCCATGAATGACAACTGCCTTGGCTTTGCTTTCTGCTAAAGTCTGCAAAACACTCCATACATGGAAGACCATTTCTTGTATGTTATCTTGCATATACATAGTTTCTACCATCCTTTCTGCAAATGCTGAACAGATTCTGTTCTGTACCAGCAGAGGCTCCATGGCCCGCAAGAACTGGTCTCCGCCCTCATCCTCTGTAGTCATGAGTCCAACCCATTTCCATTGGAAATGCAGAAATAACTGAACAAGTCCTTGGTATTGCAGGGATTCGTTGGGGACCATGCGGTAAAAGGAAAGGGAATGGCTTTGATCATTCCGTTTGGGCCCAAATGAGCCTTATGAAAGCTGAAAGAGAAAGGAAAGAGAAGGAAGGGCAGGATTTCAGAATGGGAACTGGAGTATTTGCCACCCCATTACTCATTACATGGCTACCCCAAAAAGATTAGTGCAGCCAGTAGTAGACTCCAAATGTCATTGCTCATCAAAATGACATCTGCTGAGTCAATCGCTTGGAATCTGGTGTGCAATGTGTAGCTGAGGTAGTCTAAAGTGGATCAAATGCAAATGAAAAAACTAACAATCTAGCTGCACTTCCACATTATTGTATAAATTAAACTTTAAGGAATCTGAGGGTAGGGTGGAATGCACACAGTATGAGACCTTCTTTTCCTTTTCCAGTGGGGAGAAAAAGAAACCTGGAGATTCATCTCAGCAAGCTGATTTCAAATCACACAAGTCTATGTGCATTTGTTCTACTTTGGCCTGTTTTATTTAGGCAGCTATACTTTCAACTCACCATCTTGAGACTTTTGTGGAATGTGGGCTATGTCCATGAAGAAATAAAATCCATCAAGCAGCTAGGTAAATTTAGACATAGGATTTAATGGCCCTATGCTACTCATCCCTCTTAAGATTTTGATGTGTACTTCACTCATGAAACGACACTGCTCAGATTTCTTTTCTGCTCAGCCATTGTTCCATGTTTTAGTACTGCTTCTACTTCCCTTAAATGTTGCTACACTTGCTGACCCTTGTGCCTTTCCTTCACACCTGCTGCTGTGCATTTCAAACTCAGTTCAATTATAGCATCAAGCTGACCTCAGGAATAGAATGAATTGTGCTTGGATACCTATACCTTTTTATTTTTATTATTTATTTATTAAAACATTTCTATGCCGCCCCTTGCCAAGGCCTTTACATATGTCCACTATTTTGTTATTGCGTCTTAAGTTTAGCCTTCCTCAAAATTCAAAGGAAAAAGGACAAACCTAAGGCTCTCATACTTAGGACACAACATGAGAAGCCAAAGGACACATCATGCAGAAGACAGATCATGCTAGGGAAAGTTGAAGGCCAACTTTGCGGTAGTTGGTCTTCAACTGAAAAGGAAGGCCAAATAAGAGATGGATGGACTCCATAAAGGAGGCCGCAGCCTTGAATTTGAAATGGCTAGTGGGAAAAAGAAGGCTGAATTATAGTTTGGGGAGAATGCTATCGGCTCTATGAACTGATCCTACCTGTGGAATCTTGTAAAGACTTAAGATTTCTGCCACACACGAAGAAGTATCGGAACTCATAAATAAATAAATAAATAAATAAACTCAGCCCACCAACCATGCCTATTACATAGTCCTGAATGCCACATTTGTAGTTTGGGACAAACTGACGTGAATTGAAGAGCAAGTCCAAAGTGGAGTGGTAGGTCATCCTTGAATCGGTGTAGCTTTCATAGATGTGGAAGCCCAGAGTGACATTGGGCAAGATCTTGGGATTCTCATTGATCTCATCAATGGCAAAGACCAAAGCCAGGATGTGCTGGTAGAACTTGGTCACCACCCTACAAAACAAGTGGCTTTCTGTTTTACCGGAGAGTTAAATGAATTACAAAATTATTTCATCTCAGTCCTGTCCATTGTAGTTCTGAAAGATTTAAGCATTCTGATTAGACGATTGTCATCAAATGCATTTTTTGAAAAGAAGAGAAATGTGGCTACCTGTCACTAGATCATACCATTAGACTTATATATCATAATACATTTCTTGGTCTATTTTTTGCTCACAGAATATTTTACCATCTCACCACATTCCTATTCCAATGTGGAAATTCCTATTTAAATGGATCAAATGGTTTCTTGAATTTGCCTGCATTAATTCTCATTGTTTCTCCACGTTTTTAAATGGACAAGCCTCTGTTGTTACACAGGATTGTGCTACAGTTTTGAAAATGTTGCCACTTTTGGAGTACACCCAAAACTGCATGTGCTGAATATGCCCTGAGGATTTTGCATCATCAGTATCAAGGTTTTTATAGCTTGGACACATGAATGCATGAATATAAAAAAGATGATGGGAAGTGGGCTTTTAGAGATGCAGCTGTAATGGCAACAATACCTGTGTTATGACCCAAGAACATTCTGGCCTGGTTCATATGGCAAGAACACCCCTTGATGGTTCATTAACCCTTGAAGAAATGCTGCAAAGGTCAGCTGCCAGTTGTAATGTGAAAGCCCTGGTTGGGCTGTGACTGTCTCGTCTCAAACCAGCCATCAAACCAGCTTAAAAAGCAGTCAGGGAGAACCACAGGTGTCTTGTGAAAACCAGGTGTTTGGGAATGGGAAAGGTGAGGGGAGTCATGTCTGCTTGTGCTGCTTTGCATTTTAGTTCTGCTTGACAACACAGCTAATATATTTGCCCTCAGTGAACCTTCTGGCAGGAGTCTCTGCCTCCATCAGTTCATGGTTAAATGTTCTTGCCCCAAGCCATATGAACTCTGTTCATGAAAACTCAGAGCAAAATTAATTGGCTGTTCCTCTTGCTTGCTTTATTTCCACAGACTAACAGGCTTACCAATCATCAAAGAAGGGAGCCATTATTTACATGCTCCACAACTGAAGCAACGTGGACAGGGATGTGGAAAACTCCCCTGCAGGAGCATTTGCTCCAAGGTCTACCTTTACCCAGCATGTATCTCTGATCTCATTTCTCTCAATATTGTATTGCAAACTTAAATTCACTTTCCTGCTTCTAGGTTAGGGATGGACAAAGGAGGTTGTCCTGCCACAACACCCTATGGTAGAGAAAGCCTTCTGAGAGCAGGCCGTTGTTCTGATTCACATGAGTAGTATCCTTCAGAGGAGGTCTAGCTGTAGCCATTGGGACAAACCAGAAAGCATGTTCAGACTTTTGGGCAAATCTAAAGAAACATCAGAAAGAAAGAAATAATCATGTTGGGGTGGAGGAGGGAAAAGATTTCCTTACATTGGGAATTTTGACTGCTGCTGAGAAGGATGCGTGATGAACCACAGGTTTGGAGGGAAGTAATGGATATGAGATGCCATCTCACCAATGAGGAGATTGCCTAGCTCGTACCACTCATGTGGGATGGATGAGGTCCTATTTCCAGAGCACTTCATAGGATGCACTTGCCACACCATGTTTGGCACTTGTAGCAGAAGCAGCACCAGCCTTGGGACAAAAGCCCCTCCATACATGGTCTCCTGTGCCTTCTCCTATTGCTACCCTGTGTCTAACCTGAACAGGAACTGGCTCCAAAAATGCAACGCAGCAAAGGAAAATGTAATCCCAACAGGGTAACAAAAGCATGCCTGGATGTCAATGGCGAGTAGCCTTTTGAAGCTTGAGCTGTGCAGTGGAAGAGGCAAAATGATCAGAATGACAGGCCTCTGTCTCACTCCTGTGCTAAATCACAGAGATCAATGGATCTTTGGGAAACATAAACCTTTTTAGGACTTGCTGGATGATTTTTGCTGGGTAGTTTTTTGAGTTGCAATTACCAATTAGAACAATTTTGGTAATTACAGGTGAGATAAACACTTCTGCAACTGTTTTGGACTTGGTGATGCAACCACAGTATTAGCACAGA